TTACTTCCAAATTCCAACTGTCTTCCAACTGTCATTGGTTATCTCTGTTGCTTATGTCCTCGAGTGCATGAACAACTCTTTTTTAATTCTAGAGAAGGGGGAATAGCAAGATGTTTGCCTATTTTTAGTGGTTTTATTTATTTTTCTCTATTTCCTAGTTTTTAAAATACTGAGGAGATTCGTATTGTAATCTTTGATTACTCAAACCTGTTCCATCTCTTTCCCACCGTCTCTCCCCAGTTTCATATCTGTTTTCCGGCTTTCAGTATTTGGTTATTGTCAATGTACATTATTTCAGTGAAAGGTTGCATCACTTCTCTAGTCGCTTGTGTTTTTCTTCTTCAAGAGACTCTACTGTGCTGTTTAGTTTAACCAAAATACCGTCACTTCTGTTCTTTGACAGTCCAGACAATTCATTCAGGCTTGGGTGAACTTTTGTGATGCTCCGTCGAATCCGAGAAGATCGTCGAGATCTGAATCAGATTTGAGTCCTAGGCCGAGATCTGACCGTCGTGAGCGTTCCACAGCGACACAATGGCTTCCAAATCCTACAACAAGATCATCGATATCTACGACGACCTCATCCTTCAGGTACATACACTACCTCTTCCTTCTATTCCATGATTGATCTCTCTTCTTATCAAACCCTAATCCTACGACGGTTCTCCTGCCTCTTATCTCTCTCTCTCTCTCTCTCTCTCTGTGCTTGATCTCTACGCCGTCTCAGAGCTTCAAGCAGTTCGATTTCGTCTAAATGTTCGATCAATTTCAATCTCTCTTTTCTCTATTTCAATCTGTGTGTTGTTTGTATTGGTTTAGCTTTAATTAACCTTCTTTCAAATTTGCAGGTTGGACTTGCTGTGTATGATTCACAAGTTCTGATTGGTGCCACTCCTGAATATATGGCTGGTTATTACATGGTATTATCACTAGTTAGCATGTTTTCTTGTTCTTCCTATCCCCTTATTCCACTTCCACCCCCACCCCACCCCCAACCCCTGCGAGAAAAAAAAAAACAAAATATATATATATTGTTTTGGGTTTTATGTGGTTTGCTTAGTGCTCATAGTAAGTTTGCTTACAGTTGCAAAGTGCAAGCTCTTTTTTTCCTGTGATGGCCCTTGCTCCTCAAGAGAAGGAAATGATTGTTGATATGGCGTAAGTAACTGAACTCTTTCACACAGAAATATCTGCTTGCTATCTATCTGAATTTTTTTGCATTATCTTGTGTTTTTAGTTTCTTATTTTTATTTTAGCAAGTTTAATGGCTAAGTTTCTCTTTCTTTCTTTTCTTTTGTTTTATTATACTTTAAATGTTGTCTTTTGTTTTCCTCTTTCTCTTCTTCATGTTAATGTTGTTTTTTGACGGGTAAGGTAAGTAACAAAAGCATCCTTACATACGTCCAGCCTTGAAAATTGTTGTAGTTAGCTTGTGATTCCATTGCACAATTCTTATATTATGAATTTGTAGCATAATTTAACCTTTGATACAATCTGAGACAAAACAGTGTAAAGAAAGCTCACTTTAGGGACACTAATATCTTGCCTTTTTCATGTTCACTTCTTTGTATGAGACATGGTAGAGTTGATTGATGTATTCAGTCTCACACACTAGTCATGGACATTTATGCAATCAAAGGAATAGGATTATATGTGGTATCCATGTCCACGTCTCATGTGTTATCTTCACTGCTTCTTTCTATCTGCATTCTCCCTCTTAATTGCAATTTATACTTTATTGCAGGGCTGCTCCTGGTGGTAAAACAACCTACGTTGCTGCTCTTATGAAAAACAGTGGTGTGTAGTGATTTCCATCTTGACTCTGTTATTTCAATTGCACTTATGCTTTCAATTAATTCATATTGTTGTTATGGCTTACTCACAACTTGTTGGGTTGAGCATATTCAAGTGAATATATGCATGAGTTTGTGTCCATTTACTTGTTAATGCGGGGAGATACGGGCTTACCCTATTTCCACCTACACAATAAAGTGTGACACTGTCTATTGAGCAACTTGGAGGAATTTTCAACCGAAATGGCGGTCATTTACTTTCTTAAAATTTAGTTTAAATACAAATCTTCATTTATTCTGATGTCAGACAAGTTGGTGTATAATGTTTATTCTGCTGATGTATGTATAACCATTTTTTTGCACTCAAAAAGTTGCCAACAACAAATTGTCTTTGGGCAAAGTCCTTGATGATTTTTTTTCTCCTTGCCCTAGTATCTATATGAATCCCATGTCTCTTTCCTCCCTGTTATCTAATGCAATGGTTACTAGGTATAATTTATGCAAATGAGATGAAGGAGTCAAGACTCAAGTCGCTTACTGCAAATTTACATCGTATGGGGGTGACAAACACTATAGTTTGCAACTATGACGGGAGAGAGGTAAGCATCTTGTTTTGTTGCCCTTAATTCTTATCTATTACATTATATAAATGCCATATTTCCTTGGGACTGAATGATTTAAGTTTGAATTTGTGAGTTGTTATTTTGTTAAAAAAACATCCTGTTTAATGTGGCAAAAGGGAAACTTGATCTCAGATGATCTTTTCTTGCATTATAATAAATTTCTTCTGTGATGTCTTCCATAACAGTATTTATATCATGTGGGGATGTCTCAAAGATGTTTGGACAAACATAATTTAGTAAGTGAACCAAAGCATCCTCACATCCCAACCCAGCAACTCCAAAAGCCATGCGCTTCACAGTAGAAGCAGCAGTCTGCCTATGAACCAAATCTCTGTCCATGAGAGCATCCTTTAGCAATGGAGTCACTGCATAAATGTAATCCTTTCCCATTTCACCA